TAAATACAATGTATTATAAGTTAATATGTTTTTCAGAAAATATAATTAAATTGGTAAATCCTATAATAATTGAAAAAAAATATTGATATCAATTAATGGATCTATACTTTGCAAATAATTTTTAATTTTTACATTTAGCTTGTCAAAAGTTAAATATATGAATATAAACTAATGGATTGATAAAAATTAAACAAGAATTTAGTACAACATCTTTTATATGCTATTAGCATTTTATTAATATTACTTAAAAACTATCTCTTATTGCTTTTCCTTTTTCTTCTATCACACAATCAAACATAATTAACACAAGTAAAATACCATAATTATTTATTCTTTCTTTATCATTAAATGAATTGCAAAAATTTTACGTACTATCAACAATTATGTTATACATTATAAATACTTTATATCACAATAAAGGTTTTCTTTAATTTCTCTCCCTCTTTCTTATATATAAAGATGATCGCTCCCTCTCTCTTACACATCTAGAAATCAAAGCATTCTTCAAGCACGAAAATCACTCAAATTTTCATACAACAAACAGCATAGATGTCGAAGGAAATATTTTGCGTGGATTTTTAGTTTAAAATAGTGACGCGTTCAACTTTGAAAAGTAAGAAAGAAAGAGAAAAAGGAAAAGAAGAACGAGAGAAAAAAAGAGGGAGAGTCGGCGGGCTAGAAGAAGAATTAAGGGTAAGTCAACTCACCTCTGCGTTAAATGCCTTAACCGCCTCCATCCTGATGAAGGTGCAAAGCACCAAAGATTTGCTATGTTTCACAGAAATCCGTGATTCTTGGGATGTTCAATGTTTTCTCGATAAATTGCATGTCTTGGCTCAGGGCGCACTGTCTAGCTGGGCCATGCCACTCAAGATGGCGGCGCTATTTCCCGAAAGGCATCGCGGGGCGGTGATGCGTGACGTCACATGCCGCTATGTACAGTCGGTAACAAGCATTGTTTCAATACCGATTATCTTGCACCAAGCAAAATATAAACAAATAAATTATTAAACGAGTATCAATCTAAATTTTTGTTATATCCTTTTCTTAATAGTAAATTAAATTTTAACAAAACATACTACGTAAGGTATATATTTGTACTTCAGATAAAATTAAATAATACTATAAATTTAAATACTATAAATTTAATTAGTAATACAGACATTATAAAGCATATAAAAATAATATACGTTCAGTGAATATGAAATGTTATATCTTAAGCTAGTTTCTTTACATTTTGATTATTAAATTTCAATATTTATGAATTTCAACATTTTCAAAATTTCCATCTTATGGTGGAATATAAACAGACACATGAAAATGAAAATAAAGTATTTTTTAATGAATTTCGTTACATTTTATGAAATAATTCTCTGTATAGAAGACTTTATCATAAATTAAATTAAATACGTTACTATAAATTATCAATACACTATATAAATTATAAATATTATATAAGTTTCTTGTAATAATTATCTATAAAAGTGAAAATTGCAGGGACAGAAGTACCAACCTTATACATTATATACCTAAATTTCTGATTTCAGAAATGTCAAGTAATCATTTTACAGAAGTTTGAATACTACGTAAGTTTGTATAGTTCTATGCAGTATAAGGTACTAGTGTTTAAAATTGCATTAACTTATAAATATGCAAAATTTTTATTAAAAAAATAAAAATATGAATAAGTGATTATGAAAAAGTATTTGATGTTTGACAATCATTCTATTATTATGCACAAATATTTAATTTTCAAATCGGATGTTAAATTTGCATAAGTATTTTATAATATATTTTTATAAGTTATAAATTTTATTTAATTAATTTTATTAATAAAACAGGTACATAGTGAAAATGATAAAAATACCAGAAGAAATTAATCTTGAAAATTATACTCTGATGCTTCCCTCAGTAGCTGTGGGAAATGTTGGACAATTATGCATTGATCTGTTAATATCTAGTCTGAATTTGCGTAAAATTGGAAGTTTATGGAACTCTATGTTTCTTCCAATTTGTGGACTTAATCCTTATGATAAAAAGTCCAATTCTCTTTGTACTACTGCTGACTTTTATCTCGGAACATCTCATAACATAATTCTTTTACAATTACGTTCACCCTATGTTGGTAATTCTAACGAATTTTTTGATGAATTAACACAATTTATTCAACGAAAAAGAATTAATAAGGTATAGTATAGTGCTATATTATTACTATAATATTATTGCTATAATATTAATTATTTCATTGTTATGTTAATATAAAAATTATTTTTATAGGTAATAATATTAACTAGTAGTTATGATTATGAATGTGCAAATAGATCAGAATTTAAAATAAAATATCTTACTTCGGATGAATCTCTATCAAATGATGAAAAACTTCTTGAAAAGTTATGTTGGATGCCACATACGATAAAAAATGTTAGAACAAATTCTGCAGAACAATATCATATTCCTGGTGGTGGATTTGCAAATGGTCTTTATGGATATCTTAAAACATTTGGAATTCCTTGTACAGTCTTATTTTGTTATTGTTCAGAAGGAGATAATGTTTCTGATGCATTAATACTCTTTAAAGGATTGAATGAATGGTTGAATTTAATAAATATTAACAGTATTAAATATCCATCTTCTTGGGAGTACTTTTTTGGAAATCCACCTTCTCTTGATATGTATTAGATTGTATTCTATTAATTTTATTAATTGTTTAAAAATAAATTATAAAAAAATTATGTATAAATTAAAATATTAATGTTATAGAAATCACATCCTACTAAGAATATAAGTACAAACAGAATTTAATATTCATTATAAAAAACAATTTTGTATTAAAAAAAGATATTAATAAATTTAATATACAATAAGTTTCATCATTGTTTAATTAAATTACAAAATTATATTAAAAGAAACAAAGTTCATTTGCTTTTAGTAATATTTATTGTTTATGAAAAATGTTTAAGCAAGAAGCTTGAATTTTGAAGAGAAAGCAGAATATGATACTAAAGCAGCTAAAAGAACAGCAAGAAGTTCCGAGTTAACCCAAGGTCCACGATATATGCCTGGATTGTTAAGTACTACAACAACTAATGGTTTCACGCTGTTTGAATCTTCTCCATTTCTTAGTGCTTTACGTATAGCTGCATATCTTTCATCATCGTATAATTTTATATTGTAATCTCCTGAACGTGCTTTCTTCACATCTTCTGTCCAAGAAACCTATGAAATTAAAATTTACCACGATTTTAATTAAATTCTTACAAATTATAAACAATTTTAATTTGATATAAATTCAGTTTCATTTCAAATTTAATTAAATTTATTTTAAGTATATAAATTTTAATGAAGCTTCTTAATACCTGATATTTATTGTCAGAACTTAACCTAGCAGCTGGTAATGATTTACCATCAACCTCTGCATACAATGTAATGCCTTTCACACCATTACTACATTTAAGCACAAATTGTGTTGTAAATGCAACATTTGTTAAAATTGTTGCATCTTCTGTAACATATGCAGAGGCAATAACTTCAGGTTTTTGACAAGTTTCGGCAAAAATTTCAGAAATTCCACAAATTATGAGAATAGAAAAGACTATGAATCGATTCATCATGTTGTTTTTACTTTAACTAATGATTTTCTTTGAATATTATTTGTAAATAAATTATACCAATAAAATTAACGTAACTACTGCCAGTTTAAACCATATTAGGTTAAACGGTGATTATGTGTTTGCCTGCTACTTTGACGCGTACATATGTAAAATGACACGTAATAAATAGTTGGAGACAGTGTTACCAACTTATTTTTGAAACATTAAACAACATTATGTTTGTACATTTGTTTATAAATCTTACAATTAGAAATATATATTATGTTATATTATCATATATTATAGAATTATCACATTTATCATATCATTTATCACAAAACATCATCATTTGTAACAAAAATATAATTAGTGAATTATAAATTTAAAATTAAAATCCTTATTTAATTTTCCCAAAATACAATTTCAACATCATAGAATGTTAATATATAACAGTATTATATGTAAATTATTATTACTATTTTTATTCATATTATTATATTACACACTCTATACTAAAATACCATCATTTTTATTTTATAAAAGTAAATTATAACATTATAGGACAATTTATAATTATAATCATAATTTAATGAAGATACTTTAATACGTTTCAATACACTTGAAAAAATATGTTTATTCTAATATTACAAATATACATTATTACAAATATATATTATTAATTATCAAAAATTCATAATATAGGCAGATATTATAAGAATATAAGAGAGTATTTGGTTTATAAATACTTGAAAAATCTGTACATGAAATACAGAGTTTGACCAATAATAAAATAATTCTTCTTTAAGAACTATATTCAATAAAACTTTTAAATGTTATATTATATTTAAACTATTTTGGTGTTTAAAATATAAAAATTATTATTATTGAATTATACATATATAATGTATTTTTATTAATAAATAATAAAAGCTATATATGATGTATTATATATATAATTTTGATAATATTAATGAAAATATATGTGTAATTACTTTGACTAATGATACAAAAGATGTTATATTATCTGCAATAAATAAATTCTGAAACTTGTTAATTATATAAATTTAACTTCTTAAATCTAAACAATTCCTAGATTTTAAAAAATAACGTTGAAAAAAACTATTATATAATTAAATCAACTAATTTAGAATTCAATTAAATTCATTTCTTTTGTTACTGTATTTAATGCTGTTGATGTTACAACTGATGTAGTAAAAGATCGTACATGAGATCTGAAAGTTGATGCAGGTTCCCATGCTTCATCTCTGATAATTCCTTGATTTCGTGGATACATAAGCAATGGATCTTTTCCTGTTTTCTTGCATAATTTTTCTTGAAGCACTATTAAACGAAATCTCCAATATTCATAACTTGCTTGCTTAAGCGCATTTACCCATTGTTCTACTTGAGATTCTGAACGACCACTTAAAACATGTCTCTTTTCGTATTCATCTCGAAACGCTATACTAAATGCGAATACACCTTCAGTTGCAGCATCAAGGTTAATACTATAATTTTCTAAAATAATTACACCTGCTGGTTGCCTAGTATCAATTTGTCCCAATTCGTTGATGTTGAAATAAAACAACAAGTTACATCGTAGTTTGAACCATTTTTCTTTGAATCCTAAAATATAAATAACATAAATGTTAAAAACTAATCTTATTATTCCATTAAATCCAATAATATTAAAACTTTATGAATAAATTAGCCCTTCATAAGCAAGCGAATTATCACACTATCTATAGGAAAGTTGAATCATTCATCTCCATGCCTAATTTTTTTTTACTACTCTAGGCTTTCAAAAAATGTAAATGTAAAAATATTACCTAATGAAGTCTTTATTATACAATCGGTTTTTAAGTTAAATGATCTTTCTTATAAGGAATAAAAATTTATTTCGAGAAATTCGCACAGGGTGCGAACAACACCAAGTCTATGGAATATTAGAGAAACAGTATGAAAATAGGCATGGAAAAATAAGAATTTGTAAAAGATTATTGGTTATAAGTAATTGAAGTTAACATTCTTAACTAAAAACTAACCTGACTTGTGTGCTCGTTTATGATTTAAACGACCTTCAATATCAGCAGGACCATTACTTGCTTCTGCAAGCTCTTTTTCGTTGAATTTCATAATGATAAATCATTTACACTTTATATATTTATTATTACATAAATGCTATCGCATAATTATAACACGTATATCACTCATATTCCCTTGTTTTGCTGTTATTTCAATTATATTTATTAAAGAATTTGGCTATGTTTCTAGAATTTAGTGCCAAATTGTCAATATTACACAACGCTATATATATTCCATTGTTTGTTTATTATCTTTTACTGATTTTAATATACTTTTTTACTTTGGTTATATAAATTATATCAAACACTAATAATTATTTAGGAGTATTAGAATCCATGTTGTACACCAACGTAATGTGAATACTCATCCGTTATTAAACGTCAACACTAAAGTTGCAGAGTACGCTATCGAAGGTTTGAAATAGCGCGTTTGTTCTTTGCAGTCTGAGAAACATATATTGCACAGATTTGTTACGTTTTAAAAAAAATTTATTTTATTTTGAGTTTTACTCGTAAACAAAGAATGTAATTCTTTTTAAATAAACGTACATTAATACCGTTTTTTTAATAAATCTACTTATCTAAACATGCAAAAGTTAGATAAATAAATAAAGTAATAAAATTGGCCAACCTGAAAGATACGTGTATAATGCATTTCATATGTTTTACATGCAAAGACGTGTGCTGCATAAATCGTGTGTCAAAATTATAATCTTTGTAACAAACTTATTTACTAATGGATGTAACATTTTAACTATCTGCAGTATTTATTAAAAAAAAATCATATGATTAATTGTAGAATGCACATTTTGTAGAAACGTAGTTTCTAATTATTTTTAATACAATTAGGTAATGGGTTCGTTAACAAGTCGACAGAACGCTGGTGTAGAAGAAGTTGATATTGTTTCAAATCATGCATACAAATATCCTCCTCGTTCGGGTTTGTTGTTATTTTAAAAATATTTTTAAAATATTAAATCGTAAAAATTTTGTAAAATATTAAAAAATATGTGTAGAAACTAAACAATTTTTATTTTAATAAGTTACATATTAAAACACATGTTAAGTATTGCAGAATGTTTCGTATCTTATTTAATAAATTTTATTCATTAGGAAGTTATTTTGGTAGTCATTTCATAATGGGTGGTGAACGCTTTGATACACCACAACCTGAAGCATATCTTTTTGGAGAAAATGCTGATTTGAATTTTTTAGGAAGCCGCCCAACACCTGTAAGAAATGATATTATTATATTATATAAGGTTATTACATAGTTTTCAAAAATTCATTTTTATTGTAGTTTCCATATCCTCCACCACAAGCTAATGATCCTACTAAAACATTGAAGAGTTTAGTAAACATAAGAAGAGAATCACTAAGATTGGTTCGTAATGTTGATCAAACTTCTACTTCACCTCAATGTCACAGTGTTAAACATTATGGAGATGGTGATCTAGATAAAAAATCAAATCGTTATAATATTGAATTCACATTTGATTGTGATGTAAGATGTGCAATTACAATATATTATTTTTGCACTGAAGAAATAACAACAAAAGGAGTTACGTAAGTAATAAATGTTATAAAAGTTTGGCATATTACGTAAATTTTATTTTCATGTATAATGAAAAGTGTAACATTATTTGTAGATACATACCAAGAGACCCTTCTATGAATTCCGAAACATATTATTACAAGAAAGGTGCTAATCAATTATTTTCTCAAACATCACATACATTTGATCCAACAGCTTATAGCAAAGAAGATCTATTGTATAATGCTGATAGGGAAGTATGTACGTTTGAAATATCTGTATATTAAATTTATAAAACTTTTACATTATGTTTTGTTAATCAATATAGTTACTTATAGATAATACCAATAGCAATTCATTGTGTAGCAGAAGAAGGCTCAGATGAACCAAAACAATCTCATACAACTATTGCAGTTGTTGAGAAACATTCGGATGGAACATATGTATTAAAAGCTCTTAAACAAAAGCTTTATGTTGATGGTCTTTGTTACCTACTTCAAGAAATATATGGAATTGAAAACAAAAACGCAGAGAATGCAAAAGTATAAAATATTATATAATTAACATTTTTTATTTCTATATTTGTTTCATTATAATTTATTTTTTAGCAACAAGGTAGTGATGAAGATACAGATGATAATGGATCAGAATGTGTTATTTGTATGTGTGATGTGCGAGATACTTTAATATTACCATGTAGACATCTGTGTCTATGTAATAGTTGTGCAGATTCTCTTCGGTATCAAGCAAACAATTGTCCAATATGTCGAGCTCCTTTCAGAGCTCTTCTTCAAATTAAAGCTCTTCAGAAAGCAACTGGTGCTATTATATCAAATCCACCATTACCAGAGGTCAATATTTACTCATACAAGTAATTATAAAAATGCATTTAAATACATGTACACATGTATATTTTTCATTCTTATATTTTATTCTATTTTAGTAATAATAGATTTTTCTCTTATTTGATAAAGTGTTAAATTTTTTTTAGGGAAGTTGTGAAAATATACCAGCTGGATATGAAGCTGTATCATTAATAGAAGCTTTAAATGGTCCATATATTCCAAGAACTGCTGTTCTTGCTCCAGAATCTCCGGATACTCCTGATACAGATACAGCTAGTGCAATTCAAGCAGCTGAAGCATTAAATAGGTAAAATAATGTTACTTCAGTTTCTCAATATTTAATTTATATTAATTTATATTAATTATATATGTTAAGAATATTTAATTTAATTTAATTGTAATATTTGACTTAATATTTAATTTATGTTAATATAGTCTAAATTTAAAATTAAAAGGTCTATGGAACGTACACCTGTATCAAAACATGTATCTTCAAAAGAAGGAGATATATCCGCAAGAACGAGTGGTACTGCATGTCCTACTCCAGAATTTCGAATGTCTGTTTTATTAGCTAGAGATGAACATTCGGGATCACAGAAAGATTTGCATAATCGATCTCCAGCAATGAGGATGAAAAATTCTGGACATTTACGAGAAAAGGCAGTGTTACGGTCCCGGGATACTCTTAGACTTGTTAATGAAAAACAACCAGTTTCTCTTTATGAGGTACCCTATTGATGTTCAATTTTTAATATTTCTTTTCACAGTGCTTTCAATAAAGTATCAATAAATATAGTTCTATTACGTTGTCCAAATAAATCAATATTTACAGGGACAAGGACAAGATGAAGACAGTGAGGCAGAAAAATTATCCCCATTGTTGGACGCAGCAACCAGTACAGAAGCACTTGATACTCATAGTCGCGGAATATGTGATATAGATATCGACGACGAAATTCAGAATACAGAAAATGAAAATGACGCTGATATTACATGTCATTCACATTAAAAATAAATATCATCGTATTTTCTAAAAAAAGATACGTATTTAATTAATTTTTATAAGATTATACGCATTTCTTTCAAATTTTAATTGTAAATTGTAAATATTAATTGTAAATTAAAATTATTTATATTTATAATTATTGGCTAAAAATTTATACTTGTTTAATTATTTAAAAATTATATGTAACTATACTATTCCTTGATAAAAATTTGTATATTTTCTAGAAGAAATAATTATTTCGTAACCTTTCGAATTGAAAATTAACTAGATATTAAAGATATAAAATTTAACTTTAACAAGTAAATAACAATCAGAATTAATGGCATATGAAGTTGTAAAATAAAAGTAATAACACAGATGCTTGTTTTCAGTTCATTTAATGAAATAAAATTTTCAATTGCTTTGTTTAAGCAGTTGCAAGAACTTGTCTAAACTTCTTCCATTGTTCAAGAGGTCCATGTTCTGGCAAATATTTGACATTGCAACCATCTGGAGCTAAACGACCCGCTGCTTTCAGGTCTTCATATTCAGTTCGATCATATTTTGTAAATCCCCACTTCTTTGAAACATAAATTTTTTGACGACCAGGGAATTTAAATTTTGCGCGACGCAATGCCTCAACTACAGCCGCCTTATGACGATCGGATGAACGTACACTCATAATGGGTTGTCCAATGTGTACTCTAGCTACAGTACCTTGCGGTTTACCAAAAGCACCTCGCATACCTGTTTGAAGTCTGAAAATATTTGTTGAAATTGAGTCAAATATACGATTATGATTAATAAAAAATATAAAGAAAATTTAAATTTATAATTTGTATCTATGTACCTGTCAGCTCCAGCACATGATAACATTTTATTGATGCGAATAACATGGAACGGGTGAAGTCTCATACGAATATGAAACTGATCTTTCCCAGCATTTTTCACCATGTACTTATTTGCACAAATACGTCCAGCTTCAAGAGCTTCAGAACTAAGCTGTTCATACTCATCTGACACCAAATGTACACATAATGGAAAATCTTCTACGGAAGCTTTCTTTTTTCCAAGATCAAAGATACGTATCTTGGGATCAGGCACACCTCTACAGAATCTTGATTTAGGATAAGGTTTGTTCTTACAATACCGATAACTATTAAAAAAAATAGAAATATAATTTGTATAATAAATGATTGTAAACAATAACATTATAATATTAAATTCATTAATATAAAGAATATATACGATAACTTTCTTCTATATTACATTCTATATTACATATAATATATTACATATAAAAGTTAGTATCTGCATATTTTGTTGAAGCATTAATAAAGAAAATAAATTTATATCATACGTACCATCTAGCTGGTCTGCGCCCCATATTGGCTATCAATAGTAAACAAAAATATTAGTCAAACAAGAAAATAATACTTGTATAAGTTTGCTTAATAAATTAAAATAATATAAAATGGAAAGATGAATGATATATGTTTGGATATTTTGGTTATTACAACGAATTAGTATCAAACACAAACCTCGTTGCGTGGCTCTTATCGACCTTGAAGAAGAAGGAAATTTACCGCTCTGAACTGAGTTATAAACGAAGATCGTGAACTGAGTTGCAACTAGAAAGTTACTATTCAAGGATAATTTTAAATTAACGACAGGTTTTTAGCGATAAAAACCATAGAAACGCAATGGAAGTGTTTATAACTATAATATGCATTATTTGTACTTTTTTATAATGTTATAATGGAATCGGAATTATCGGAGGAAACTTTACGTTCTCAATTTACAGTGGATGATTTGGATATTGAAATATTGCCACTTATATATGAAATAATTCGGAGGTTCGTATATTTTAATAATTTGACAATGAAAATAAGGATATTTTTATTATGACATTAAATTATTTCAAAATGAAAATATAACCTTTGTCTATTTCGTTATCTCAATATTATTTCTAGTTTTCTATATACCAGATTATAAACGTATAATTTTGTATATATCAATGTATAAATTTAATTTTGAAATCATTTGTAAATATTTATTTATAACAAATTTCTAAATGATAACAAAACAGTACTTGGGTTTTTTTTCACAAGTATTAATATGTTGGTAATTGTTGCAGTCATACATAAATTAAAATATGTGTATGTATTGAAGTATATTTACAAAAAATATTTTTCAAATAAAATCTATAATTATAGATTTATATGACTCTGAGTATATATAGTTTCTATGATCTTATTATATAGTGTATGTTATATGTATTCTTAATTGTATTTTTAGTGTTGAAAAAGATCCACATGATACCACACAGAAAGCTAAAGAGTCTCAAGACACAAGTCATAAAATATTAGAACTTCAAAAGAAATTAGATTCTGCAAGAGCACAGGTAAAATGCTATATCTTAGATTCTTAAAATAAACAATAATTCATATTTATATTCATATAATATTTATAAACATTATGAATAATATATGGGATTACATGCCATCTGTTACAAAAATACATTGTATTTTATATTATAATATAATATTATGTTAAAATAATATAATTTTTAGATTAAAATAATATATAAAATAAAATATTTTATAGATTAAAAAATTACCAGGAATAGAGTACAGTAAAGAAGAACAGTTACAGAAACTTGAAACTCTACGTAAACAACTTAGGCTTAAACGAGAACTTTTGCTGAAATATCGTAACATGTGTACATTTGAAGTTCCTAAAGTATAAATATCTGTTTGTTAAAAAAAAAACATTGTAATTATGGGCTTTCTACGTATGTTATTTACATATTTAATGCGTAATGAACAATTAATTGATAAATTAGCAAATACAAAACCAATTAGGCGATCCGCACAGTTTGTAGCGTATTTAATACTTCAAAGTAAAACATATGGTATTCATTTACCCTTTAATCATGAGAGATTTGTTAGACAATTAAGAATGTTTACAAATACGATTAAACAAAAGTTAGAAGAAACGAAAAATGAAATAAAAAAAAATCCACCAAAGTAGTTTTTGTATATATTTAAAGTTGCAAATAGCGAATAACGATGTAATAAAGAAAGATTGGTTAAAGTAGTCCTTCTAAAAATAAATTATAGTTATTTTAGAATTAGTTTAGTTACAAAAAATTAAATTTGTAACAATTTCCTTATAAAAAGGCAATAAAAAGATATGGATATTTAGTTTTTAAAATTTATTATACCATTTAGCATAAAAATAAACTTGAATTTTACTTTTGTATTCCCTTTTTTTTCATTATACACAATGTATGAAAATAGAGGTTACTCACATATATTTTACACTGCATTTATAAAATAATCTTTACTTATTAACAGTAATTAATAAATAATTCTTTCTTTTTTTGTTCTGTTATTATTACATTTGACATTGTTAATATCTATTTTTGTTTTATTAAATTTTCTTAAATTTTGTTTTTAATTCATAAATTTTACGTTCTCATGCAATATTTTTATTTCTCAGTCACTATTTGTTTTATTATTAGTTTACATTTTTCTTTTACTATCAAAAGATTTTATTTGGATTTGTTACAAGTCGTTAACAATAATTATAATAGTCAAAGAAAGATGAATGAAATATTTTATATATAGATTACTATTTTATTTACTTAATACTATTTTAAGATACACTTGTGTTTATAAAAATAAAACACTTTGTGAATAACAACGTATATTTCTTCATACGTTTTAAAAACGACGTTTTTGATAATTTAGTCAAAATATGAAAGACAATTTGTACTCTAATAGGGTTGAAAGCACAATGTGCGTTATATATATGTGATATATAAACAGTTCATGGTTTCTTTTTACACTTTAAGGTAAAAATCACAATCCTTTGGGATATAAACAACCCCAAACTAGATGAAATTGTCATTATTATGTAACATAATTTTACATATATTTTAATATAAATAACTACTAAATAATATATTAATTTTATACATAAACAATGTACTTTGCACTTCTTGAAAATAAACTAAAAAATATATGTAATTTTTTTATAATTTAAATTATAAAAAAATAAGGATTTTTTAAGAATAAAGTGATTGTTATTAATTTTCGAAAATTATAAAATAATCTATACATAGAGAGTGTGTATACGTATATACATGTTTAAGAGTTTTGTACATAAAACAGTTCATAGTTTTGTGGGAGGATTTTGTTCTGATAGCGGTTGAATAGTACTATTTACAGTATTGTGAGATCGTCCTCCTTTTCGTCCTCTATTTTTTTTATTTTGACGTTTGTTAGTTTTTTGTAACAAATTTTCTTGCTTCGATGTCTGTCCTTCAAATGAAGAATTTGTTTCGGTCGCATCTAATGGCTAATGCAAAAATTTATGTTTATCATTATCTAAAATTCCCATATTTCTATACGAGAGTAATATTACGTACTTGGATCGCAGATGATGAGCTTTGCCGATTTTGAGATATTTTACTTGGTTTATTAGCCCTACACGTTTGTATTACCGTAGTACTAGAATATGGAATAAGTTTCACTACATTACCCACTGCTTTAGTACGACCTTCTCTAAATACTATTCTTTGTCCCGGTTTCATATATTCAGGATGCTTTATAAATCTAAAGCGTACTAAAGCTTTGTCTCCTGTCCTTAAACAGTCTTGTGACATAGATATTATAGATGCTGTTTGTCTTATACTTCCACAATGCACTAAAAATGATTTTCAATAATTTTAAACATGAAAATATAATAGATTCTAATTTAAAATTCAAACAAAAAAAAAAAAAGAATTACCCATTGCTTGGTAACAAGAACTTATTGTTGTAGGATGATGCAATACAAGAATTTCTCCCTCAAATTCCCAACAAGCTTGTGGATTTAATGCTTGCGCGACCATTACCATACCTTTTCTAATTTGTGACCTTTTAATTTTTTTCAATGCAAAACTAGCAGTTTGACCACCTCTTACTTCACGAACAGGCATTCTCTTCCTATGTATACTTTTTACTGCAATCGGAATAAAACGACCTAAAGGATCGGGTCCTAACAATAGAGTATCGTTTAACTTTATAACACCTTTCAATGTTGTGCCAGAAACTACAGTACCAACTCCCTATAGAAATAAAAATTAAAACAATTTTTCATTTCAAAACTAAGATTTACAGTATTAGTATATCATAAATCTAGCATTTCATAACTAGAGTTATAATATAATACTTACTGGTACTGAGTATGTATCATCTATTTGAAATTCTGCTGGTTCATCTTCGTGACTGATCATCCTTGCAGTTAATAAATTTAAAAACATTTTAAGAAGGTTTAAATTTTCTCCTGTTACGTTCGAGACTTGAAAAATAGGACATAACCTATATAAATATATTAATAATTGAAATATCGATAAACTTATAGAGGAATAGTATAATATCGTACAAAAATAAAAACTGACCGTTCTGATACAAAATTAGTAGCACTAACGACAACATCATCAGCTGTTTTTACTGTAACAGGTACTTTTCTACAACCTGGAGACTTCAAGATTCTTATTAACAGTCTTAAGTTTTCTTGTAATATATTTGGTGGACACATATCAATTTTTGTGACTACAACAAATACTGGAACTGATAAAGCTAAAGCCAAACCTAGATGTTCTTTTGTCATTCCAACAATACCAGCATTTGCTCCAACCATTAACATACCTAAACGTTAAAAAATTAAATTAATATTAAAATACACAAAACGTTATTAAATAAAATTATTACAAAATTTTACCAAAATCAGGAGCATGTCCTGTCATTCCAAAAACAGTTGTTTTCAAATATCTTTCATGTCCAGCAAGATCAATGAATGTAATAACTTTAGAAGATTTTTCACATATTTTAACCCAATCCAGAGATCCATGCTCTGGTTTATTCACTACATTACCTAAATGCAAAATATGCAATTATACATGTGTTATGATACACACAACATATAGATGTAGTATTTGACATTTGATTCATCAGTTTTCATACCGACGCTATCAAATCCAAGAATATCATTTCCAACTGAACTAGTACGTCCTGTTTCAGCTTCATGTTTATGTCGAAATAATTTTTGACGTGCTAAACCTCGACCATTGTCAAGTTCTCCATGTGTTAATACACCTAAAAGTGTTGATTTTCCAGCATCAACATTGCCAACAACAGCCACTCTGTAATTAAAATCTATTAAACTAAGTTTTTCTTTAACAATATTATATCTTATTATTATCTACTATATCTAAAATAAAAACCTGATTTCCAAGAAATCTTGTCTATCTAAACGCCTCCGTACTAGATATTGACCTATAAGACCTTGATCTACTTTACTTTGACGTAAAAGTACACAATCTGCTTCTAATGTTGCAGCAAGAGATTGTAAAGTAGCAACAGATGCTTCATATTCATCTTCTTTTAAACCATCTTCCGAACCATCTAAGATGAGATAAATTATAAATACTTCTATGAATATAAACATAATAATTACATACGAACCTTCACCAATACCAATATCAAAAATTGTTTCACTACCACCATCTTGAATTCTTTCTCTTAAGCGTCTAAGTAACAATTCATATTGATCTTCTGATGGACTTACTAGAACACTCTGAAATTACAATTCGTTATTGTCATAAAATTTGTCTCATTGAAATAAAGTTTCAGTAAACATACCTTTCCTCTGATGCTAGAGTAATCTACGTTGGAAGTAGATGCATGATCGTTTTCATGTAACTGTCTTATATTTGGTATTATTATAGATCCATTCCCTGCCATATCTTACTTTTGTATTATATGTTTTTATGGTACAATAAGTTAGATTTATTGATACGATGTGATTACTTATCACATTAAAAATTTGAACCATTTACTGATACGTTCGTATAATAAACATCTTCCAATATTTAAATCCAAATCTTATTCTATAGACTCTTGATATTAGTACATACATATTAACTAATGTATTTTCATTTTTGTGATTTCAATATTAATTTATATTAAACAATGAAATAAAATTTGTATAAATATCTTGCACGTGTCGTTTATTGCTCAACTAAAATATAAAAAAAATAAATATAAAATTCAATGTATATATAATTCGTATTTTTAATTCGTATACGTAAACAGAACCGATTTGTCTAATATAAACTTTTAATATTTGATACGGATTTGTACAACAATAATTTAAGTAATAAAATTTAAACAATCTATGAAAACGATCTTGATTTTTCTGTCACAGAAATCTACATCTGAATTTGTATAAAAAAAAAAACTGTTTTAATGGATTTTTTACGTGAATGACAATTTGTTTATCTTTGGAGGAACGTGTCACCAACATACTGCTAAGTTGTCATATATATAATTCGAATGCGAGACAACACGAACAAAGAACAATATGAAATCTAAGCAGATCGTTTACGTAAGTGTAATTATATTTTTTTTTACCTGTTACAATATGCTCGTATTAACTACCGTCTCTTTGCGTAATTATAAAACTAAATGTGTAACGCGTGACTGAAACTATTGTGACGTGCTTACGAAAAAGCTGTCAACGATTGCGCGATCTCATTCCATCCAAGATGATGATCTAACAAAGATCTAAAGCGATTACGCGTATGCGCCTAGGTAGATTGCAAACGGTCGACGATACATATCGATGGTTCAAGTGATACGATACTCTCGATGTTCCTTTCGCGATCGACTCCTTCGCTTACGCGAATTTCATTCATGAAGTCAAAGCTTTTTAAATTATCGAATATATCCTCTAGAATACGGATATGATGAGATATGATAAAAACTCTTATTATTAACAAAGTATTTAAATTAACAATAAATAAAAATGCTACACTGAATATTGGTGAAATATTATTTCTATTAAAATATGTTAGAACATGTACATGTAATTTAATTAAATACTTTAATAAATAATTTAATTAAATACATATCCATAAAAATGGTGGTATCTCTATGAATCTCTTGCACTACGTACACATTTCTTCGAATTAAAGAGTTAAATTACACTGTGTAAATTCAATTATAAAAATCAATGTTTTGTACGAAAAATTAAGGTTTCCATGTATAAAAGTATTTATACATCGATCAATTACAAGTTGTAAAATTTGTATATCTTCATTGGTATGTTAAACTTTTCACTTCAATAAAATGATATTGATTATTATAAAATCAAATAAACTTTATTAAACTGAAAAAGATTTATCTGGATGTACTAATTGAAAATGTAAGACAGAACACGCTGAAATGCGTTCTAACAGTCTTAAATAAATTTGTTGATTGTTGCATTATCTCTTTCTTAATATCTATTTAATAAAATAATCAAATGTCTCTGCGTTTGTAAATATAATTTATTCAAATGTCTGCAATTTGTAAGATCAAGCTTGTAAAAAATCATACACAGAATTTCCGCTTGTAAACACTTCCGTCTGATAATACGATACGTATGTCTCATCTCCATATTTTTACCCCTCACGGGTAAATATTCGCTGAACAGCTGTTCGTTAAGGATGTTTACTATCACTTTGGGATATGTTGCAAGTTTGGCTTCTGTCAATTTCCAGTTATAAACCAACAAACGATAGTAACCTAACGCCCAAAATGATTACTATCGCATAATTGTACACGTTAGTAGAACGTAACCTTGATTATCTAGTAGATTTTCAAGCGAGTACCATGGCTCAATGCAAGTTAACCCCCCGTGAGTTTATAAGTAATGCCTTTTCACCACAAATCGCTGCGATATGTTCAACCGCAGCTGATACTGTATGTCAAAAAAATAATTTATCATTTGTGGAACTTTTGCAACCGTTTTGTAAGTTAAATACCGAAGGTAAGAAAGAATTAATCATTTTCCTTCATACATTTTTGCTGTTACACTCATTACATTAATAGTTACAATAAAATCTAAATTTTCTATAATAAAAAAAGATATTATTTTGTTAACATTCTTTTAGCATTTAAATAATTATGATTAATTTTTGAGACTAGTAGTTCATAAAATACTAAATGAACTGTGCTTCGTAACGAAATGTATTATGTGTAAATTATAGAATTATATTATTATAACTTTTAATTTTTAATTTTTACCTCATAAATCATATAACATTATATATATATTATTTACATTATTATGAAATATTAACAGGCTTACGTTTCATTTCATAGGTCATTTTAAAGATCCACAAGGAAATACTATTAATGTTAGAAATCTTCGTCTTTTTATACAAGATGTTAATGCACAGCCTCCAGAACCAAGCATTGCTAGAAAAATGTTAAATGAAGCAGTCAGTTCAGCCATGTGTGAACATACAACTACTGTTCAAATTGGAACAACAGAACTTGATATACCAGTATCAGTTCCTTGGTTTGAAGCATGGAGAGAAATGTTTCTGAGTGTACAATTCCCATCAGATCATGAATTCACAAAACATTTTCTTGCTTGTATGATAGTAGTTTCCACAGCAGAGGACAATCCTTTAGAAAAGATACAAAATATGGGTGCACAGTTACATCAAAATATACCTGGAAAATTGCCAAAATGGTTTAATAACAATACACTTAGATATTATATCTTACTACATGATACTTTACAAGATGATAGAAACAAGTATTTATTTTTTGTTTCGTTGGTTTCTTATTCATTTAAGTGTTATTCATAAAAATTAATCATTTATAATCTTTATAGGGCTGAAAAAGTTTTTACAGATATGAAAAATATTTATGGTGCTAATAATTGTTTTTTATTACAAATGAATTCAAGACCACCAGGTCAAGCTGATGACAATACTCATTTACCAGATCCTTGGAGTCAATTTTTAGTAAAACATTCAGAAGTATTGGGAGGTAGTGAACAAAACAGTTCTCCTCGTACACCTATAGATACTAGTGGTGTTTCTTCTATGCCAAATGAAGTTACAACAGATACTGACAAGTATGCTTTTATTGTATCTTTTAAAAGTTTATGAAATAATCGTGAATGTGTGTTTTGTATTTTAGAACAAGCCAAGCTGGAACACCAGTAGCTTCACAAAATTCTGTATTGGTTTCTCCAGATCTAAATGATAGCATTAGTTTCTCCTCTGAAATATCTGAATCAACAAATACACATTTAGAAGTTGGTCAGGAAGCTGTTTCTGTTACAATTCATCCGTTAAGCCCAACAACTGAGAAATCAAGGAGTTCTGCGTTACATGGGAAAGGACCAACAATCAGTGATAGTCCAATAAATATAAATGTTTGGGCAGATTCTCCTAGTTATGTAGCAACACAACATGGTGCTAGATTATCTACGCAAGATCTTGAAAGAGTACGAGCATTAATAACAGAATTTTGTTTAAAAAGTTTATTACCTTATGTAGAAAAACAAATTGGTTTGCTGAACGACGTAATTTCAAACAAGAAAGGAAGATCGCTTTTTAGTGCTACAAGACGATGGTTTGGAACAAATAAACCTGGCATACCAGGACCTACTCCATCAAATGCTGTAATGTATGTTTATTATTATCTATGTATTATTTTATTAAATAATGAAGTAAATTATTGAAATTAGATGTAACAAAAATAATATATAGCATAAATAATATAAATATATAAAGTTCCAGCTTGTTTGGGTTTCAGTTATACGACGGAATCACCAGAATTACAATTGCGTCGCTTAGGTGACTTGTGTTTTATGTTTGGTCATTATTCACTCGCTTACCAAACATATCATAGTGCGAAAAGAGATTTTGCAGCAGATCAAGCTTGGCTTTATTATGCAGGTGCTCTTGAAATGGCTGCTTTAAGTGCATTTATGCAAGGTGAAACTAATAGGAAGACTATCGAATATATGGATGATGCAATAGTAACCTATTCAACTAGTTGTAAAATGCCACAATTTGCAACAAGAGCAACATTGCTCAGTGCAGAATGTTTGAAAGGTAAAAGCTTATATGGGGAGGCCGCTAAACAATTAATTCGCATGACTAGTGAAGATTCCGATTTGCGTTCTGCTCTCTTGTTGGAACAAGCTGCCTATTGTTTTATTGGGCCAAAAATGATGCGCAAGTATGCATTTCACGCTGTTCTTGCTGGTCACCGATTTTCAAAAGCAGGTCAAAGAAAACATTCATTACGATGTTATCAACAAGCTTACCAGGTATTTTTAGTTAATTTTTAATTAAATTATCATTGTGCTAAATTATCTATTAATTATTCTTAGGTATATAGTGGGAGAGGTTGGTCATTGGCTGAAGATCATATACATTTTACAATTGGTAGACAAGCTGCATCATTGAAACAAGTTAGTGAAGCAGTTAAAGCATTTGAGAAATTATTAAATGTTTCCAGTAAACAACCAGCTACACAACAAGCTGCATTTTTACGTGAATTTTTACATATCCATAATGTATGTACATATAATATTAATATATAATATTAATTACACAATATTTTTCTGTACATATATACTAACTGTCATATTATATATTATAGCTATTATTGCAAGAAGGTTTATCAAATCCTCAAGAGCTTCCTATTTTGCCTTTGCCATTAATAGATAGTAATAACATTAAAGTATTTCATGGCCCCATAGCTGAAACACACGAAAATAATATTCCTGCGAGTCATGTTTCATTTGATACTGAAGAATGTGACGATGTCAGATGGGCAAAAATGGAAGAAATGTTAATAACAGAAGCTCAGGGATCTCCTCCTATGATATTCAAACCTACAATTGCATTATACTCTAAAACAAGTAATAACAATATAAAACCAAATGCAGTTTTAAATGAAGCAGTGCATTTTTTTATTGAATTATATAATCCGTTACATATACCGCTACCATTGTCTAACGTGACTTTATTATGGTCATTTACTTCCGTCAATGGACAAGTTATAAACGAAATGAGATCAGCAGAAGATCTAAAACTAGTTGAAACACAAGTGATTGAAAAGATCATTTTACAATCAGCGTCTAAACAAAATATTACATTGTGTCTTATACCAAAAGAAGTAGGAGAATTAAAAATATTAGGTTTGAGTTATAATTTATCTAATCCAACTCATGTAATTGATCCACCAGTTGTTAATCCAACAATAGCTATTACTGGAAAAAGATTGTTTGAAATTAGGGGACCTAGATTAAAAAATATTAAGGAAAAACCTGGTACAAATATGTATGGTGCAGATCATAGATTAGAAATGAATATTATTGAAAAAGCTCCTTTTATGCAGGTATTTAATTTTAACTAAATTTAACACTTGTAATTACAATGCAATTAACAAAAATTTATTTTTAGATTTTCTTTAGTAAATTGTCTTCAGGAATGTTATGTGGTGAAATTCAAAAAATAGACGTCACGCTAAAAAATGTGGGTAATTCACCACTGTCAAATATTTATTTGGCATCTACAGATGCTAAACTTTTTTCATTAGGAGATGAAGGTACAATACAGCTCTTATCGTATTCAATGATTGAAATTGATTGATTAAAAATAATATACTAGTATTTTATTTATGATTTCAGAACACATAACAAAAAGAAGTAATAAGCTTATATTAAAGATCCCATTGTCTTCTAATAATGATGTATTAAATGTTGGGGAAACACATAAGATACCATTTTGGATTCGCGCGCCTCATGAAAAAGGAATTCATTCTTTAGATTTACTTTTTTACTACGAAAATACTGATTTAAAAAGTGTGATAAAACATCGACTTTGTAGACACACTTGGCATTTTACAGTTTTAGATTCTATACAAATTAGCGCGATTGCTTCAAGAAGTTTATTATTTAAAGATATTTCACCTACATTAAATTTAATAATTTGCATTAAAAATGCAAGTCAAATTCATAATTTAATTACGAATGAAATTTTGTTGTCTACGGTATTGTTTGAAAGTGATGCTTGGTCTGTATTTATTTCATCGATTTTATCAACAAATATTAAATTACAATCTCAAGAAATGTTTCATTTAATGTTAAAATTAAAAAAAAAAGATAAAAATGAATCGAAATTCTCTAATGTATCTTTAACTCAAGAAAATGAACGTATTGAGTCAGATGTAAATTATCCCTACATTAACTTTATACAAAGAAAGGATATTCCATCATTAGACATTAATGAAAATATAACCGAAGTGCAACAACAAACCCAACGATTACTACAAAATGAAGAACAAAAGCCTTTGTCTACTACTATGGCATTAAATTCTACATTAATTCTTAAGTGGCGAGCGAAAATAATTGAAAATGGAATTATTACGAGGCAAGCAATTGGTCAACATCATCTTGACATACAATATTTGAATAAAACATATAAATATCCTAAAGAAATTCAAGTTGAATCGAACGAATATTCTGGACGTTTGAAAATCTTTGGTCCAGACAGAAACGTATTTGATTCTTCAGCTGTGACAAATAAGGAACAAGCATCGGAAACAGAATTTTTGAAAAATATAATTTCATTTTCTTTAAGCCATGATAGAGAAATTACGCATAATTTTAATAAAAATCGATTGTGTTTCATTCCAGTAATAATGTACATACAGAATCATTTAGAATCGCAAATTGATATTAAAATTAATACAATAGGAACTAGCAGGTAAATATTATTAAAAGTAATTTTAGTCTTTTATATTCATACTATAATTCTTGTGTCTTATAATTCTTATAAATCTTATGTCATTTCAGTGAAAGTCATCTTCCAAATATAAAATCACAATTGTTTTCTCCACAAGCATCCGTGTACTATAGATATGCTTGTCATTCAGCAATTTGTTCTCATGTAGAACCACTTATGAGTAGTACTGTGAACTTACAGGCTATACTTCTAGCTCCTGGAACATACGACTTAGCAGCACGTGTAGAAGTTTCTGCAAGAATTGTAAATACTAGAGAATTCATCTTGCAGAAATGGAAAATGGAAAGCATATGTATTATTAATGATGGTAGCAAATAATTTAAAAATATAGAAATATTATTATTATTATTATTATTAATACAATTACTACTACTATTAAATAATGTAATAAATTTTGTTTATGTAATTTAAAATCACTTCTCCATACTATGTAAATATATATAGTATTCATTTAACTATTGTTAATATTTTTGTGAAAATGGATATATATTATTTAATATGTATCTCACTGTTTAATCTTTCAGGAATGACGTTTGATGTTAATGATTTAAGCTTTTTGATAATTTCTATAAATTAAAATTATAATTTTTTGTTATTTTATACCTTATAGTTATTGATTTCGTTCATATATATAATTATGAAATTTAATAATTTGTAATAATTTCTAAACTTCGTATGGGAGTCAATACAATTTATAAACGTCGTTCTCTCGAAGGATTAATGTAAATTTTTTAAATATATTAATTGCTTGTTACAGTATACATTATAACAATTATTTCAAAAGAAATAATAGTCTGTGAAATTTTGTAAATTACATTCTTATTAATACATTGAACGTGTTAAATATAAAAATATGCTCAGTTGCTTGCATAAATGTTGAAACTATAACAGGAAAATTGTAACATATTTTTTGGACCAGCATTTCATATTTTTTAAATTAAAATAAGAAAGAAATTGTATAAACTTAGTCGCGGAATGCTGTAAAAGATGGATAATTATAAATAAACAATACATTTCCTACAATAAAAATTAATGTCCTTATATGAGAATACACAATAACGTATCTTAATATATCTATAAAATAATACTGTAATTAAATTATTAAAATAAATGTTTTAAAAATATTAATATTATGAATTTACTAAATTTAGAACTTACTAAACTTAGAATTAACGACTTCATTTCATACTTTAATAATAAACAACCCAGAATAGATTTGTAAATGATTATATTATATACACAATAACATATGTAAATATCACATAATAATTCCACAAGAAACTTTTATACAAATAAATAATAACACAAATAAATACAATAAATTTTAGTCAAACACATATCAAATACGCATTTATAGCAATTATATATATGTATGTAATTTGCATGCAGATATATAACAAAAATAATGATATTATTAACATAATGTTATGCATAATACTTTACAATTTGTATATAATAATATTCCAATAAAAAAATTTCAGCATTAATTTATTAATATATTTTTCATTTGAATATTAAGTTTTCCTATTAATAATGCATATATATAAATTTTTTTAAATTAATATTCCAATAATTGTCTTTCCGTGTATATACTCCTCAATTTGTATAAAAGTTATAAATTGCTTTTATCTTATAGTCTTTTATCTTATGTATGTGTAAAATTTTAATTAATATCAATATTTTAATACGATTTTGAAAAAACAATTTGTATATAGTATGATCAATATTTTTGCATGAAAATAATCTCTTTTTAAAAATCATCATATAATACTTATATAATTTGTACATTTATTCATATTTCAATTTTGGTTTTCACTACGCTGATTTCCATATGCATATTGCTAAATTTCCAGCGCAGTACATATACAATAGATGTTTAAGTTGATAAGTTATTTCAAATCCATAGCCTTCGCCAACGACTGTATGCCAAGACGCACCGAATTTTTTGTCCATTGTCTCTTTAATCATGCGAGAAACGCTTTCGTAATTGTCCGCATATTTTTCTGCAGCAGTGACGCATAATTCCATTGCTTCTTGTTTCATTTCATCCGACATATCACACTTCTAAAACATACTCGACAAATGTAAAAATGTAACAATATGTCTAAAATAATTTTGAAGAAAATACTTAAACTATTTACTAATAGAAGACATTTTACACAAAAATGATATGTAACACAAGTAGAATTTTTTGATTTAAATATTTTATTTTTATTATACAGTGCGTATGATGTTAAAATAATTATGATAACAAAAAATATTAACATTTAATAGAGGATTATTTAATAAAAAATTTAATAAAATTAAGCTGTATTTATTTATTATGAAGCTACAGATATTATTTTTCGAACAATGACCTTATATTGATCAAACACTATTGATAAAAGAAACCAGACTTTTTCTTTTCAACATATTTTACAATATAAAACATGTACATAAATAATATTTTACTTACTCTACAAAGTGGATACGTATGTAATATTTTAACAACATCGTCTTTCTTTACTTCAGTCATTTTGGAATATAAATTTCATAAAAACCGTATTAAGTACTATTCTTCTTCAAAAGACAGTGAGAATATTGCCATCTTACAGGCGCACACTTACCCCTAAACCACGCACAATGTGGTGGGTTAAAATATAGTGGTATGAAGTACATACACCCCGTAAATTAGATTTGACCAATTTGAGGCTTTCATGCATACTGATTACTTAAAAAGAAATTCTGAGATACCAAGATATTATATGAGTAAGACACAGTGTGGAAATATTAATTTTCAATAAAAAATTGACATTTAGATTTAAATGAAACCTGGAAACTTTTGCAACATAAAAATTAATTATTTTTTGCTATTTAGACAACAGTGTGTAATGAATTAACATAATTATTAAATTTAATATCTAGAAACGATATATTCTAGCATATTTTTTATCATGTATTCATGTAAAATATAGAACAATCAAAACTGGTGTTTAAATAAATATTTTTATGACTGTCTTTATATTTCATTATTGTCACATGTTTAAATTAATTTAAATAAAAAAATATTATACACAAAATTGTATTTTAAGCAATTTGATTGAAATTTGTAATATTTTCAAATATAGCTAACAAAAAGTGTATGTCATTGTTGTCATAGAACGCTATTCAATTGTGAATTAAATATAGGAATGAAATACAATTAGAAAACACATTATTCTGTAAGTTTGTAAAATGTTAAGAATGTTTTATTAAATATACGAATATTTATGACAATTAATAATTTTTATTTAAACATAAATAGATAAGATGCGAAATCATCTACTAATTAAAAAGCCATCAATAATTGTAAAAGAATTTTTTTGAAATTTAGTAGATTAATACATTTGACTAGAATCTTTGTTGTGCTGTTTTAATGTTAAATAATTGTATTTAATAAAATTAAATACTTTTTTATTTAATAGTTGAAAGTGAGGTTATGTTTACAACCGAATAAATTAATTGTATAACATTGAAATTATAATATGAAATTGTTAATATTTTATAGTTGGTTTAATATATATATTATGAATATTTATATCGATTGTTTTATATGTATTCTATTTTTTTGAAGAATATGTTAAATTTAACTACTAATTAATAATTTTTATAATAATTCAAGTTTAAATGTTCTTTGCAGATAAAATGACATCACGATTTAGTGGAGCATTACAAATTACAAATTTAGATGATTTCATTACACCTTCTCAGGTATTTTCATTTTTTTTTTTTTTTTTATTTGAATAATAATAAATTGTACAAAGCTTTTTCTTATAGGAGTGTATCAAACCTATAGAAATCCAAAAGTCGAAAAGTAAAACTGGTGCAAAAATAAAGATTGAAGAAGATGGAACACCTTTTACATTAAATGAAGTATTATACATGTATATAAGTTTTTAAACTAAAATCATAAATAATTTTATACCTTATTTTTTATATGTTCATTAGGCTGGTCAAGCAGAAAAATTACAAAAAGTTGAAATCACACTTGCTGATTGTTTAGCCTGTAGTGGTTGTATTACATCTGCAGAGACTGTGTTAGTTACCCAGCAAAGTCAAGAAGAATTAATGCGAGTATTTAGAGAAAAGATTTCTCAGTATGAGGTAATATTTATTAATGTAGCATTTAGATAAGATATTATAAATTGTAATAAAACATTGTAATAAAATTTATCTATTTTATATATATTTTACAGAGTAAAAATGGTGTATATTCAACATTTATTGCAGTTAGTCTTTCAGTGCAAGCAGTACTATCCATAGCAGAACGTTATAGTCTTGATCCAGAACGAGCACTAAATAAACTTGCTGGATACTTTTATCAACTAGGAGCAGATATAGTTTTAGACATGACTGTCGCTGATGATTTTGCTCTTTTAGAGTCTGCTAAAGAATTTATAGAACGTTACAAAGCAGCTAAAGGGGGTGCAATAAATCAATTACCCATGTTGTCTTCTTCTTGTCCAGGTAATTAATGCTACAATTATCTTACGCATATAAATAAAGATAAAATAATTAACGTTTGATAAGTATAGGTTGGGTGTGCTATGCTGAAAAGACACATGGTAATTTTATACTTCCATATATAAGTGTTACAAAATCTCCACAACAAATTATGGGATCATTAGTTAAATATCATTTAGCTGAAACTATGGGCCTTTTACCAGAACAAGTTTATCATGTTACTGTTATGCCTTGTTATGATAAAAAATTGGAAGCATCTAGGGAAGATTTTTATAATTATGAAAGAAAATCTAGAGATGTTGATTGTGTTATAACTCCAAGTAAGTATTTAAAACTTTACGCATCCGCATTGTATTTACTTAAATTTTATTTTTTTCTAGTTGAATTAGAACAAATGTTTAATGAACACAACGTGTCATTAAATGAAATACATGAAAAAGAAGTTGGAAAATTAGTTGAATTACAAATGAAAGATTTTAAAAATAATTTATGTGGTCATAGTGGTTCAGGATCTGGGGGTTATGCTGAATTTATCCTTCGTTTTGCTGCAAGACATTTGTTTGATGAAACAGATGTAACAGTTGAATTTAAAAATCTCAGAAATCCTGATTTCCAAGAAGCAATCTTTCAAAAAGATAATCAGACATTATTGACATTTGCAATTGCTAATGGATTTAGAAATATACAAAATCTAGTACAAAAATTGAAACGTGGAAAATGCCCATACGATTATGTTGAAATCATGGCGTGTCCTTCTGGTAAGTTTTATTTGGACAATAGTACAACATTATTATATTTTCATTGTAAATTTTAATTTAATTACTAGGATGTCTTAATGGGGGTGCACAAATTAGACCTCTGAATAATATTCAACCACGTGAATTGGCGTTAAAGCTAGAATCTATGTATCAGGAACTTCCTCAGAGCAATCCTGAACAAAATTCACTAGTGCAAAATTTGTATAAAAATTGGTTAGGAGGAGAATATACAGATAAAGCTTTAGCATATTTTCATACACAGTATCATGAAATAAAGAAAATAAATACAGCTCTTGCCATAAAGTGGTAATTATACTATGGTAATTATAATTTAGTATTATAAAAAAATTTTTTGTTTTAATTAAACGTATTTAATTAAATATAGATGTAATAATAAAATATTTGTTATTTAAACAACAAATTTATTAAATATAGCTATTTCACAAGATTGAAACATACAGTATAATGAATAAAAACTATATCTTATTACAAAATAATAATTATATAACTAAGTTTTTAAATATGTTGTTAAAATGTACAGTAAATATAAAAAGTTACATACACAGTATACCAATTAATTTTTATCATATATTGCAATATATATATTGAAAGTATAAAAGATTGTCTTTTATAGTTGTTCACATTGTTCAATTGAATAAGCTAGTATGACTAGTAACAGATATTAAGAAAAAATAAAATTTTTCAGGAAAATATACTAGAGTATAATTTTTTTCTAATAGTGCAGGAATATCATAATTCTATATTCTGTAGTTTATTTATCCATAGAATAATAAATTAATTTCACTTTCATCATTAAATATTAATTAAACAAGACATTTCAATAAAACAATCCATTAACTTAAGACGTACTAATGTACTTTAAGTAATACTGATAATACAATTTTAAAAAAATATAAGTGTTGTAAATACTAAATTAATATAAGAAATTTTAATTTCATAAATGCAAATTATTGTACATAAAATATGCATGAAATAAATAACAGTATATATACACATATATTAATTTATCATAATAACAATTTATAAAAAGTTTATATCAATATTAATAATTGGCAACATATTATGCATTCATAATTGAGCCATCAGTTATCTTTTATCATGCTAAAATTTTCTTCATTTTTATAAAAATATGACGAACATAATCAAGCAAATAGTGTTGACTTAAATATAACAAAAATAGTTACATTCTTTTCTCTTGTGCAAGAAAGTTTGTATGTAACATTTATAATCTTTTACTTCTCTTTTCAATTCCTTAAACATAGAACTTTATTTATTAATGGACTATTGTCACTTGAATTTTTTAAAATTTATTTTGGCCTGAAGCATTGAATACATAGATTAAGTAAATTAAAAAAGCTTTAATTACCTAGAATTTTTATTATCTAAGGATTTTTCATTTTCATTCATTTCTGTAGATCCATTTTTTTTCAAGTTCCATATAACCATCTTCAATATATGTAATAGTATCATGATCTGTATTAATGCCTTCTTTATTTGCATATGTATTTATCAGCCATCCTTGGTTATTATCTATCTCTTTCGATACAACAAGAAATAATTCCTTTTCCTTACTCTCTATCTGGTCCTTCAGATATATAAGTAAATCATTTTCCTGATAATATTTAAAATAACAAGTTAATATAATATTTATTATATGATAAGTACTTGTCAAGATATTTATAAACATTCAAGAATAAAAAATTAACTGACTTTCCCAATAAGCTGAGGAGAATCAAGTTTTGAATCAAGATTATAAAAGGCACCATGAATTTTCTTCAGGGCAATCCAATGTCGTCTTTTCAAGGGAAGTAATACAAATCCCAATTTATATTCTGTTGGTACATTTAATATAAAACCTTCAATGTTATCTAAACACAGACATTTTGGATCTCTGAGAAAAAATTTCATAAATGTATATATATATATATATATATATATTTATTTATTATATATATTATATATACACACACACACATAAATAGTTTTGTGTAATTAAGTGTTAATGTTAATATTATTAATGTTATTAAACTGAACAAACCTGCGTTTATCAAACCAAACTGCTTCACGTCCTCTTCGTTGTAGTGCTGCCATGATAACATTAATATCATAATTACCAAGTCCTAGCAGTGATTTATGGGGATTAATCCATACATCTGGACTTAGACTATAACAAATTTGATCTAATTCTTGTTTACTAAAATCTCTTTCTTGAAACAAATTATTCAATGCATGTAACGCGCAAAGTTCTTTTACCTGAAAGAATAATAACATGCATATAAATATATAACATATACAAGATATTAACAATTATACATATGTGTATAACATATTTTTGTACGTTTAATTATGAACTAAAAACATGAAATATTTGATAATTACTTGTCTTTCATGATATATGGATCCAGTCATATCTGTTGTGTTTGCAACCATTTTATTTACATAATTTTTATTATATGTTAACAATTTTATTAATTAATTTTTTGCATCGTCAAAATTTTTTTATGTATAAAATTCAATATGTTTCACTGTGTATTTAATCTATGTCGTATCGATAACCTAATAATATAATGTAATAACGTGATGAATAGAATTTGTTTATTTAAATCTTAGTAGTACTAGTCGCATTAAGTATTAAATAATTATTATCAAAACATACACACTTGGACAAGGAACAAATACTGTCACCTTAGAATACAATTACAGAATACATTACAGTTTATATTTGATAAAATGAATGAATATGTTATTTATTTACGTTTATTCATTACTGGTTTACCACATATCTTAATAAGACGTTTACAATTACATGTTCTTTTTTTATTGGTAAACTCGAATAATCAACAGCAATATATAGTAGATATAAAAATGATTTGAACCTACTATCCTTGTTTAAACTAGTTTCTCGAAATGGTGATTGGATATTTCTGGACTATTGATATTTCACTAATGTTAAATTTGTAAAATTTATGTACTTTTTGAGACTTGTATTTTAAATAATCGATTTTTTTATATATATAAACACTACGTGTTTACAATGTTAATAAAAGAATAATTAGTCATGTAACATGTCATAGAACATTATGTTACAAATATTTTGGCCAATCTGTAAAGTTTACTATACTCTATGACTAAGTCGAATCAGTGTTATGTTTAATTGTACGTAATTTTTGTTTTGAAATGATAAAGATAAGAAAATATTGCCGGATAAATATTAAATCATCAGATAATAAAAATAATAGATAAAATTTGAAACATTTCAACTAATTCCTGTTTTCACGAAAAATAATTATACATTTTATATTATTTTTAAATAGCATACTTTAATCGAATTTAGAATGGAAATTGACTATAAATTTGTAAGAGAAATAGAATGTAAACAAGGAGCTATTAGAGCTGTACGATTTAGTGGTACGTAATTTGTTCGTAGTTTTTATTTCGTAGTGATGTTGACTTTTTTTTATCATTAAATAGTGTTGATTTATACTTAATATCTTTTTAGTTGATGGTGCTTATTGTTTAACTTGTGGAGCTGACCGAAAATTGAAGTTATGGAATCCTTACAGAGGTGTTTCTTTAAAAGTATATGGAGGACATGGAGATGAAGTAATGGATGCTAGTGCATCATGTGATAGCAGTCAGATAGTGTCTTGTGGATTGGATAAATCGGTTATCCTTTGGGATGTTGCAACTGGAACTCCAATTCGACGTTTAAGGGGTCATGCAGGACCTGTTAATACTGTAAGGTATATTATTAAAAATTAATACATATACATTCTGATATGTTTTTTTATATAAATACATTTTTTTATAATACCAGAGTCAATGAAGAATTTGTTATCTTTCTAATGTCAGATTCAATGAAGAATCTTCTATGGTTGTTTCTGGATCCAGAGATAACTTGGTTATGTTGTGGGACGTGAAATCTAAAGCACTGGAACCTGTGCAATGTTTGAATGATGCTAAAGATTCTGTTTCTAGTGTTAGATTATCAGATCATGAAATTCTAACTGCCTCATTTGATGGGAAAATACGCAGATATGATATTCGTGTAGGTGAATTATATACTGACTATATGGGAGGTTAGTTAATAACATTAGTTAGTTAATAATGAACAAAATGAAATAAAAGTGCAATTAAGTTACAATAAATGTATTGTTATAGACGCAGTAACTTGTGCCAGTTTCACAAGAGATGGTCAATGCGTAGTTGTTAGTTGTGCCGATGGTGTGATTAGATTAATGGATAAAGATTCTGGAGAATTACTTGGGGAATTCACAGGTCACGTGGCAAACAATTTGTGTTTAGAATCAAGCGTTGACACTCAAGATACTCGCATTATTTCTGGATCTGCAGATGGGAAATTATGGATATGGGATTTAGTGTCTCAAAAAGTAGTTGCAAAACTTTCAGGATTCAAACCAACGAAACATCCGACAGTATCATTAAGTATTCATCCGCAAACAAACTGTTTCTTAGCTACCAACGGACCAAATATATTAATGTGGAGTACTGCATCAGGACAAGAGTAATATTAAGGACCAAGTCTGTGTTCAATTTTTGTATATATCATTTTGAATGTATCATGCCAGAGATTATAACAATTATAACAATTATGACATACTATCGTTTTATTTAACATTAAATAAAAAATAAAATGCCTAAGGAACGTTGTGTTTATATTATCTACAGTATTGATGTCTTGCAGTCATCAGAGCTCAATATGTACGAAATTGATAAAACGAATGTGAACTTTTGATTGAATTTTTCTTCCACGGAGTGTCGTTGCGATTGAGCAGCACAGGTATCTTTTACCTGCTTATTAAACAGATAGAATGTGGGTTAGATTAAGCTGGGTCACGATTCACGATATACAGTCAAAGAAACAGGCTACGAGGTACAGGTTACGCACATAGCGTAACTTTAGCAGAGACGAAAGAGAGAGAGAGAGAGAAGCGAAGAAAGGACGAATGAGAGGGAGTTAGTTGCGCGCGCAGGTGGCGCGATACCGGTGCGTCAGTATCCAGTGGTCGTCACCGTCTCGCCCGGGAGAGGGAAAGAAAAAGAGAGAAAGAGAGAACAATTTTACAGTGTAAAGTGAAATAGAATATCTGCGCAAGAGGAAGAAAGTACAACGGGCTAGCATAGCGAATGCAAAAGACAGAAAGAAAAGAAGGAGCAAGAGATATACAACAAGAGAACACGGAGGTGCTTGCACACGGGGCGGGCCTGGCAGTCTCAACCACTTCGTGGAGTGCACTTTTTATTCTGTACTCGAGCACGCAACCACTCTGATTGTTAGCTGTTTGCATATATATATATATATATATAT